CTACGTTCCTACCCTCACCTATGGTCACGAACTCTGGGTCGTGACCGAAAGGACAAGGTCGCGGTTACAAGCAGCCGAAATGAGCTTCTTCCGTAGGGTGGCCGGGCTCAGCCTTAGAGATAGGGTAAGGAGCTCGGTCATCAGGAGGGAGCTTGGAGTCGAGCCGCTACTCCTTCGCGTCGAAAGGAGTCAGCTGAGGTGGTTCGGGTATCTAATTAGGATGCCTCCTGGACGCCTCCCACTGGAGGTTTTCCAGGCACGTCCAACTGGGAAGAGACCCCGGGGAAGACCCAGAACACGCTGGAGGGATTACATCTCCCAGCTGGCCTGGGAACGCCTCGGGATCCCCCAGAATGAGCTGGAACATGTTGCCGGTGAGAGTGAGGTCTGGGTGAGCCTGCTTGGCCTGTTGCCACCGCGACCCGACCCCGGATAAGCGGAGGAAAATGGATGGATGGATGGATTTATTATATATTATTATTTATTGTAGATTAAACTAAATAGCAGTATATGAAACAATTAAAATGAGCATCAAATGTACCAGCTGCAACAGTAAAGTGATGTACAAAGTAATGTATCAATAAATGTATCAAATGTTACACAATTATTCTACGATGGGACACTCTGCATTATGACGTACGTTTTTAAATGTAAGTCTTTTATATTTAATTAAGTACTTTACATCGAGGTCATAGTATGTGTTTTATTTTAAAGAACTTAATACTTCTTCCACCGCTGGATGCTCGTTTTTTGCTGCTTCGCTTTGTTTTTGCCAAGCATTACGCTTCCTATTTTGTACCATCTGGCGCACCGTAACGCGAGAGGCGTTGACTGTTGTGGCAGAAATTATCGTCCCGACAGCTGTTAACACAGTTTATCTTCTTTATTCCGAGTCACACCTGAACACGAGCGGGTCACAGCTGCAGGAGAGGCGCGTTTAAAGCGGAAGGAAGCGGCAGGTAAAGGTGTTCAGCTGTCAGCTCGTCGTGTTCAGTTAGCTAACGCTAGCTGTTAGGTGCTAGAGAGATGCTGCTCAGATAGAACAGTGTGTTTCTGTCACTGCGTTAAAACTACACTGCAGCTCTGCGATGCTTTTAACTGTCACGTGATGTGTGCTGTGTAATTCGGCTGATCTTGATCCGGTTAAAATATTTTTATATAAAGAAAAGGACACTTTATTTTGGTGCTAAAGTTAGCTAACTGTGGCTAGCTAGCTAGCTAGCTAGCCAAACAGATTTGCTTTGGCTATATACAGTATCTATCTATCTATCTATCTATATATATAATTTTTTTTTTTTATATCCAAAGCAAATCTGTATTTAGTCTTCTCCTTTTATGGTTTACATAAACACTAATCATGTTTTCTCCCTCTGCAGGTGTTAGGTCCAGGTGTTCAGGTGTCAGTCAGTATGAGCTCTAAAGGAGGAGGCACAGCTCTGACCCGCCGCAACTACAGACTGGCTTCAGACACGGACAAAGCCACAGGTAGGACCTGCTGCTACAATACTCTGTGTGTACATGTCACATACAGAAGAGACACGGGTGAGATGAAGACACAGGTACAGACACAGGTTGTTGGAGGTAATGATTGTCTCTGTCTCTCTCAGGTATCGTGAACGAGAAGTTGCTTAGTGACTACCTGCACCATGTGTTTCCTTTCACCAAACAGGGTCCTGCGCTGGCCTCCCTCAGGTAACACCAGTCCTTCCTCACCTCTCAGTCCATCAGAATGTTTGTATCTTAATGTGTTTTTAACAGTCGGATGTGCTTTTATTTTAATGTCTCAGTGACTCAGCGGGAGGCTTTTATTGTGAAGCTGTTAGAGGAAGTGCAATGAGTTTATTATTTGCTGTTTTGTGAGACGTGGACACATTCTGCTGTATTTGGTCGGTGACTAAGTTTTAAATATCAAAGGGAGGAGGAAATGATTATTGGATGGATTGCCATGAAAGTTTGTGCAGACGTTGATGTTCCCTCAGGATGAACCTCCATGACTTTGGTGATCCTCTGACCTTCCCCTCTATCGCCACCATGAGGGCCACATGTGTGGTGAAATGTCTCCACATCTCGTGTGTGGAAACCTGTCGGATAAACAAATGTGTCCTCAGCTTGATGTTTTGTTGAGCAACACATGATAACTAGGTCACAGCTGGTGTAGTCCATGAACTGTTTTTAAAAGGTGGATCAAGTCTCTGTGATGTCTCCTATTGGTTTGTGGCTGTTTTGGAGCCTCAAATTCTGTGTTTTTGGATGTCACCATCTTGGTTTTTGCAAGCAGAAGAGGGTGGAGCTAAGTACAACGGAACGCTGGATAAAACATTTAACTTTCATCAGCTGAAAACACACAGTTAAAGTTCCAAAACACTGATAAATCCAAGGCTGTGGTCGTGACCTGTCAATCACAAGCTAGCCCCGCCCTAAAGCATCCCCTGCTTTATGGTCTGTTTGACTCTAAATGGACCATAATGTACTAAATGAACATCATGCTGTAGTGAAGAAGACTTGAAACTAGAGATTGAGACCATAAACTCATGTTTACAATGTTTACTGAGGTAATAAATCAAGAGAGAAGTAGAGTCATTTTCTCATAGACTTCTATACAACCAGAGGAGTCTCCCCCTGGCGGATACTAGAGAGAATGCAGCATTTAAGATATGAAGCTTTGGTATCTATCTAATGTTAAAATGATTACGGTGTGATCTTTCTTTAAGTCGGTATAATATGAGATCTCGGCGCACGTCAATAGTTAATTTAAAACTGTATTATGACAACGCTTCACCTCAAACACATGCTTGACACAGCGCTGTGGAGAAAGCTCTGGCTATGCGACACTACAGCTGGTGAAACTTGAGTTCATGTATTTGTGTACTTACTCGTGTGTTGTACCCTGACCCGGCTCCTTTCCTTAAGCCAGGCAGATTCATGTTACACCCCCCCCAGCAGCTCTATACATAGACACACACACCGTCTCTACCGGTTAACCCTGGAGTGACTCTACAGTGAGGAAACTCTGAGGATCAGGTGGGAGTTTTGGCAGCAGGTTGAGTTTCAGGTGTTGATGAGGTCTGAAGGCTGCACAGCAGAGCTCATGTGTGAAAATACAGCCACTCATTTAAACTGGGCACAGACAAAGACAGAAATAAAGCAGTGAGTACGCCCGATTCAGTTTGTTACATCCTAATCTTTACGGAGCTCAAGTCTCGTTTTTACGCCCACAATATTTATTTTTTTACTTGATGCTGAGTAACCTGCATTCTCTCTAATGACCACCAGGGGGCGACTCCTCTGGTTGTATAGAAGTCTATGAGGAAATGACTCTACTTCTCTCTTGATTTATTACCTCAGTAAACATGAGTTTATGGTCTCAATCTCTAGTTTCAAGTCTTCTTCAATACAGCATGATGTTCATTTAGTACATTATGGTCCATTTAGAGTCAAACAGACCATAAAGCAGGGGATGCTTTAGGGCGGGGCTATACGGTGATTGACAGGTCTCTACTATGGAGTTGTCTGTGTTTTCTTCTCAGAACTTGAACTCTTTCAGTGTTTTCACTTCATGAAATGTTGGTCGCCTAAAAATATCGTATTCTCTCGTTTCTCTTCTGGTTGCAATAAAACCAAGATTAGAATGACTTTAACGCAGTAACGTTTAGAGCACCAGGCTCTTCTTCCACCCGTCATAATATTATATTACAGACGAGGAAATACTGATTTAATTCATTAGAAAAATAAAAAAAATATACGGATGTTAAGAAATAAATATATCTGGTTGAAATAATGTCCCTTCATCATGTGCAGTTCAAATATTGTGTTTGTTATCTGGCTTTAATCACAGTACTAGTAAAATAAGAAAGTTGAGAAAAGGATGATTTTCCCATATTTCTCTTCCTTTGTTTTACTCCTAATAATGCATGTTCTTCTTCCTCTTCCTGTTTCTGCAGGAAGCCTCTTGGTTTCCAGGACCTTGGCGCTCACCTGGAGAGATTGTTGTCAGAGGGAGAACCCGCTGAGGACACTCGAGGTAAAGATATCTATCTATCTATCTATCACAGCAAAACAAATACACAAAAAAAAATGGAGGTAACACAAAAGAGGAAAAGTTGCACATCATTTATTAAATGATTCAAACATGACACAGTTGACCCGTCCTTCCTTGCAGCCTGTGGCGTTGAGTTCCTTGATCTGTTTTTTAACATTTCACTCAGAGCCGTGATGAATGAAGTGGAATCCATGCACAGCTTTGAATTGTGTCAAAGTACTCCTCACATCTATTAAAATACTATTAATGTTTTCGATACAGGTGTTCCGCGCTTCATCTGTAACGTCGGTACCTCGCTGTGTTTCAACGCAGCTGAATTCAACAACTGAACGCGGATTGAAATACGATTTAATAAACATGTTGACGATCATTTTGAAACCGTGAGGCCGTCTGACGAAAGCTCAGTTTGAGTCTGAACTGAGGGTTGAAATGTAGAGGATGTGATCAGCTGCACACAGAAAACTATGAAAACAAAATAAGTGCTGATGTTGAATGTGTCCTCAGATCAGCCTGTTGAAGGCCGTCTGGGCCCTCAGCCCGTCGTCCTGGATCACACCAGCGGCTTTGAGGGACTTCTGTTTGTAGACGATGACCTGCTGGGGGTAAGATCAGCAACATATAATACCATGTATTATTACATCTTCATCTCACACACACACATGCACTCACTTACTTACTTAATGGAGATGAATTAAAGGCTTCAGCTGACAGCAGAACAGTCCATGTGGTGACTTTTAGATTTAACACCTCCAGCTGTCTGTTGGAACAGTGTTTTAGGATAATACCCTTAATTTATTTTATTTACTATACAACATGTAAGAAGTCTCCTGGTCATATTTCTCTATTAAGGGGAAAAACAAAGTCTCTGAACCTTTGAGATTTATTCTGTATTTCAGTGGAAGTATCGAGGAATCACAGTTCATCTTCTCAAACGTAGCGCGATACGATATCATCTACTCTGAGGTCACAGTGTTTGCCTCCAGCTAACACCGTGACTCAATCATGAGGTCGGCTGTTGAAGGGTCCATACGTGCATCTACGCATGCAGCTCTAAGATCTCTGAGCTGGTCTCTCTGGACGCATTTAAAGGAAATGTAAATGACGTTGGAGGCAAACGCATCTGGCCGTAGATGTTTCGATTGATCGGTTCCTGATGTTGATGACTTGTGAAGAATGTTTTTCATATTTGTTCATTCTGTAATATGTCATTTTAAATGGTTATAAGTGTGTTTGTGCGTCTGCAGCACTGGTCATTGTGCTGCTGCCTTTGAAAAATGTGATCTCAGTGAGACTCTCTCCTGGTTAAATACATTAACAACAAATGAATAAAGTAAAAAGCTTTCATGCATCACGTTGTTGTTGTTATGGATTATAATTGACGGTGACTGGATTCGTACAGTAGAACTTGTAACCTCTGCGGTTACAGATGTCCTCTCTGGTTTCTGTATTAAATGTTCTTTAATGATTCTAATTCTTCTTTTTCTGATTTTAGGTCATCGGCCACAGCAACTTCAGCTCCATCAGAGCCACCACGTGTGTTTATAAAGGTAAGTCACAGATGAGCTTCTCTCATAATGTCGACCACATTAACGTCGTCAAATGCGGTTAAATTCGGACCGAAAAATACTTCTCAGTCCTCGCAATCGTCCCGGGGCTTTACGGCTCCCCTCGTTTGGCCCTTTTGAAAACATCATCTCTCTGAAAATTTCAAATCAATCATTTATTACTTATTGTTTCTGTTGTTGTGTCTGCAGGTAAATGGGCCTACGAGGTGCTGATCTCCTCCCAGGGTCTGATGCAGATCGGGTGGTGCACACTCAACTGTCGCTTCAACCAGGAGGTACACACACACACAC